TGGAAGTTATTTCTTGCTTAGATATGTCAAACGAGCGATATTCATTGTAGATCCACTTCAGGTTGATTTTACTTCCAAATATTGTGTTTGAAAAATCACACAGTAGCTGTTTTAGACTGGCAAATCAACTGTAAGCCAAAGTTAAGCTGTCTCTTCTCTGTTTTTTACCCAAATGAAGCCGCAGGCTCAGATTAAGCTCACACTGCAATCCAAGCGGCACAGTTTACAATCTGTTGGGGTAATTTGGTCACTGGGCTCATTCTTTGGAGATAAAGAATGAAGTGTTAAGAGACAACTGAGAAGTTAAGTCCCACACTACTAGAAGCACATGTGTATCCCCAGGCTTGAATCCACAGACATAAAATATGAATTTAAATTGTATAAGTGCACAAAATCACACAGCTAATCTTCCAAAAATGTGCAGTTCCTCAAGCTCAGAAATAACAATGCTGGTTAAAGTATGCATCGTTTTTTTTTTTTGGGATCATTTTAAATGTATTGCAATGAGCCTGGTTATGTCTGTGCACTATGTTCAAAGGCTGCGTCAGCTCCCCTTTTGCCGTGTGACATTAAATCACATCAATCAAATCAATGATTCAATCAATTCAATTCAATCAACAATCAAATCAGTGAGACTGACTTTGTTACTATAGTCCTCTCATCTGTGACTGATTTTTAATGCTCTTAGAAATTGAATTATTTCGCTTATAACGAGTAGTGGAAATTTAAATTGCCATCTTTGAATTACAAAACATATTTCATTTAAAAAACATTTACTTTTCATTGCATTAGGAGTTGATTAAACAATAAACAGTGACAATAAGCTAAGCTAACCTCTAAGCATAGGTGCCACACAGAGTCCTCCATCATTATGTGTTATTGCAGGTGAAAGAGAGACGGGATGGCGTGCAGCTGTGCTCCGACGACATTTTCAAACTGCGTGCTATGGCTGCCTGAGACGACGGGGATCGCCATGAGACATGCAAATAACACCAACAGCCAACCGAACAATGTACACACAACACATACAGAGGGCTTAAACAGTCAATCCCCTTACAAAAATGCACACACATCCACAGTAATCCCTGTTTACCATGTGTTAGCAAACACAAAGCTGAGATGGAGGAAATGGAGAATATGTCACTTTGAGTTCAGCAGGTCAAAACGACTTTATATCAATTATTGATCCAGCAGAGATATTTAGATCAGTGGTTCCCAAACTTTTTGGCCCATGACCCTCTTAAAATGAAGTGAAGTGTCCTTGCGGTTCATTATTACGTGTTATGGACTCATGTTGTGGACGTTTAAAGAGAAGTAAAAGTGTCAAATATTTCACAAAAAAAGAACAAAAAATCTCTCTTGTTATCATTTAGATTTACCTTGGGTCCCAAGATGACAGGATGACATGTGTTTTAAAGTTATATCTATACAAGCATCGCACAGTGATTCTGTTGCTGTGAGTTAGTTTATCTTATATGTTGTTAGCCACATGCTCCATGCTGGGGCAGTAATCACTTAGCTTATTAGTCACAATACCTTTTACCCAATGGCTGATATCATCGCAGCTCCCAATAACGTTTATACTGCTCATGCTAATTAATATGGATGCACACTTTAATGAATCATCTATCTATCAGAATATAGATAGATAGATAGATAGATAGATAGATAGATAGAT